CCACAGAAAGTTTGGTAATTCTATTCCTTTCAGTTATGAAGTTATAGAAATTTAAAATTTTTTGGCGAGTAGTCAAACTTCGAGGCCTGGCCCCGCCCCTTCAACATGTACGAAAAGTCAGAATCTTTGTCTCATTTTGTTCGCCCATCCCTTCTGAGCAATTTTACACAATTTTTGAGATGATCGTGCGAAAAATGATCGAGCAATCCAATCAGAAACGGACCCTAAAAACGGCAAAAACGGCTAAAAATCGCCATTTCAACCCAAAATGGCCGACTTCCTGTTTGATATTGACCATGCTTGCAAGAGACTTTTCTGTGCGGACTGTTGAGTACTACAAGTGTACCAAATTTCATAACTGTATGATAAACTAAGCTTTATGGAGAGGGTTTTTTTTCACTTTCTAGGGGGCGCTGTTCAGCCATTTTCTTTGCGATTTTTTTGGAACCTTTAAAATATCAAATTTTTCACCAGGCCTGACAAGTTTGCAAAATATTGTGAGTTTTGGGGTATGTTAAGGTCCCCAAAAAGCCGTTCAAAGGGGGCACGGAATAACAAAAAAAGAATAATCAGAGCAAAAACAAGAGGCCTTCGCAGCGCTTTCGCTGCTCGGGCCTAATAATAATCAGAGCAAAAACAAGAGGCCTTCGCAGCGCTTTCGCTGCTCGGGCCTAATAATAATCAGAGCAAAAACAAGAGGCCTTCGCAGCGCTTTCGCTGCTCGGGCCTAATCAGAGCAAAAACAAGAGGCCTTCGCAGCGCTTTCGCTGCTCGGGCCTAAAAACGGAAAGGATACAAATCATTGTGAAAGCAGCTGTTCATCATCTGGACGTTACCGAGTTGTCGTGGAAGGAGGTCAGGAACAACCTTAGTGCGAGTTCCAGTCCAGAGGGGTTGGGATAGTGAATGGTTGGGATTTTACAATGGAATGCTAGGAGTTTGATTGCTAATGGACAATAATTTAAAAGATATATTGATGTATTGTTGGAGAAACCAGATACTATTTGTGTTCAAGAAACTTGGTTAAATAAAAATTTCGAATTTAAATTATATCCGTACACAATAATTATAAATGATAGGGAAGATGGTGTTGGAGGAGGTTGTGCTACTTTTATTCATGTTAATCTGAATTATAGAATAATTAAAATAGGAACTGATGAAGAATATATAGGAATAGAATTGTATGTCAATAAAAATAAGTTGTATATAGCCAATTATTATAATCCATGCAAAAAATTGGATAATAATACGCTTAAATTAATTCTGGAAGGGAATTATGATCAGGTGGTAATGTGTGGGGATTTTAATTCTCATAGTTCTTTGTGGGGAGGAATTAAGGAGGATCAGAATGGGGAAATCATTGAAGAGTTCATGGATGATATGAATTTAGTCTGTATAAATGATGGTAGAGGGACAAGGATGAACGTAACCACGGGTAAAACCTCAGCTATAGATCTAACAATAGTGTTGAATAGCGGGAAACTGTAATTGGGAAGTTCGGGAATGTAATCTGGGGAGTGATCATTATATAATTTTTACAAAACTTTATAGGAGTAAGGAAGTATATCTGGACAAAAGTGTTGGTCATTGGGTATTTAAAAAAGCTGATTGGGATAAATTTAGAATTATGTGTGAAGAAGAGAATGGAAGGATTGATATGGAAGAGGATATAGACATGGTGGAACTAATTTTTTAGGAGAGTGATCATTGAAGCGGCGGACGTTACTATTCCTAAAAGTAAAGGGACCGTGAAAAAGAAAAATGCTCCATGGTGGAATGAACAATGTGTAAAGGCAATCAAGGAGATAAATAAAAGTATGAAAGTTTTGAGAAAGACTCATAATTTTGACAGTTTGTTGAAATATAAAAGATTACAAGCTGAAGCAAGAAGAGTAGTTAAGAGAGCGAAAAGGGAAAATTGGAGAGGGGTTTGTGATAAAATAGGAAGAACTACGTCTGTAAGTGACGTTTGGGCTATGATAAGGAAAATGAAGGGAGTTTATCGAGAGTTTAGATACCCAGTTCTCAAGGTAGGTGTAGAGGTTGCTATTAGCAATGAAGAGAAAGCTGAAATGTTGGCTAAAACTTTTATAAAAATTAATAGTGATGATAATTTGTCAGAAGATAGATGGAGAAGAAGAGAAGAAACCAGAAGGACTAATAGTGTTAAAGATGATGGTGGGCGGAGGCTGACGACAATTGACGCTCCATTTACAGTTTTTGAACTAGAGCGAGCGATGGGGAGAACTAAAGTGGCGTCATCTGGTAAGGATGATATTAATTATGAGATGCTTAAACATTTAGGGGATAAGATGAAGGGAAGGCTGTTGGAGTTATATAATAAAGTCTGGGGAAAAAGGAAAATTACCAAAAAATTGGAAAGAGGCGGTAATAATTCCGATATTTAAACCTGGGAAAGATCCAAGTATTCTGGAGAACTATAGGCTGATAGCTTTAACGTCTCATATAGGTAAAGTAATGGAAAGAATGATTACGGATAGGTTAAATTATTATTTAGAAAGTAGGAATTTGTTAATGAAATATCAAAATGGGTTTAGAATGGGTTTAGAGGAACGATGGACGCCATAGTGAGTTTGGAAAATGACATTAGGAAAGCACAAAACAACAAAGAGAGTTTAGCTATAGTTTATTTTGATATTGAGAAAGCATATGACATGGAGTGGAAGGAGGGCTTGCTGATTAAGTTAAAAAGGTTGGGGATAGAAGGAAGAACATATGATTGGATTAGGGACTTTTTGTTTAATAGATACATTCAGATAAAAATAGGTAGAGTTGGCAATGGGACGCCACAGGGAGTGTGATCAGTCCTATTCTATTTTCTATTATGATCAATGATGCATTTGAAGAGATAGGATATGATGTTGGGAAAGCATTGTTTGCAGATGATGGAATATTATGGAAAAGGGTAAGGAACATTCAATACTTGCAGAAGAAGATTCAGGAAGCAATAATAAAATTGGAGAATTGGTCATTTGAATGGGAATTTAAATATTCAGTGGACAAAACAAAAAGTATGGTCTTTACAAAGAAAAGAAATGTTAAAATCGAGCTTAAATTATATGGGGAACCTTTGGAGCAAGTTCATAGTTTTAGATATTTGGGTGTTATATTTGATGAAAGGTTGATTTGGAAGGAGAATATTAATAACATAGTTGAAAGACGTAAAAAGGTAATAAATATAATGAGGTGTTTAAGGGGTAATGATTGGGGGGCTAGTACCAAGGCTTTAAAACAGGTATACATGGCAATGATCAGATCGGTTATTGATTATGGTAGTATTGTATATAGTTCCGCAAGTAAAACATTACTGAAGAAGATTGAAGTTATTCAAAGTCAGGCTTTAAGAATTTGTTGTGGAGCAATGAAAACCACACCGACAGTGTCCTTACAAGTGGAAATGGGAGAGATGCCATTGACTCTAAGATTCAAGTTGCTGAAATTAAATTATTGGGCTAGTGTACAAGGTAGTACAGAGGATGAGCACATGGTTAAGGGAGAGATGAAAGTAGGAGGGCAATATTTCAATGGCAAGTATGAGAGTATGGTCTGGAAATCGTGTAAATTGGCAGAAGCCTTTAAATTAAATGATAAAGTTGTTCTTAAGAAATTTTTATATTCGCCTACTCCGTTTTAGTTATTTCCAAAAGTAATAATAGATTTTCATTTTCAAAATGAAATTAAAATACGGAAAGGTGTGGGAAACTGGGATAATGTTGTGGAAGAAAGGTTAAATGACGCTCATCAATCATTCATCCCTATATATACTGACGGGTCGAGAGAGTCAGGAAATTTAACAGGATTTTCTTTCTGGATTCCGGAATGTAGTAAACATCATAAAAGTCGAACATCTAATAATCTGTCAGTTTATACGGTGGAAATGTTAGCCATTTCATTTAGTTTACAGTGGATAGAACAAAATGGTGTTAGGAAAAGTATTATTTGCTCAGACTCCATGTCAGTATTGTTATCAATTAAAGACATGTCAGCTGATAAGAGGTCAGATATTTTGTATGAAATATTTGAGTGCTTGTTTAGGTTGATGAAGACTAATTCAGAGGTTAGATTTATGTAGGTTCCAGCTCACAGTGGAGTAGAGGGTAATGAAATAGCTGATTATTATGCAAAGCAGGCAACGAAACTGGATACTATGATGGGGGTTCCATATAGTGTTGCAGAGGTGAAATCAGTTATTAGACAGCAGATTCTGGATGAATGGCAAAAACAATGGATAAGGGATGTGAAAGGAAGACATTTATACAAATTAAAGTGAAAGGTTGGTGGAATGGAAGTCATTCAAATGAGTAACAGAAATCAAGTAGTGATAACAAGGATGAGAATGGGACATACAGCTTTGAACAGTACACTTTTTATTCTTGGACGGCATAATAAAAGTCCCATTAGTTGGGACACACACTGATGTGTGTGCGAAATTTGTTCTCCGCATTTGACCCATCCCCTGGGGGAGTGGTGAGCTGCAGACACAGCCGCGCTCGGGAACCATTTGGTGGTTTAACCCCCCAATCCAACCCCCTTAATGCTGAGTGTCAAGCAGGGAGGCATTGGGTCCCTTTTTTTTTTTCAAAGTCTTTGGTATGACCCGATCAGGAATCGAACTCTGATCTCCCAGTCTCAGGACGGACACTCTACCACTAGGCCACTGAGCTGATTAATAATAATACCGGCATGTGTGAATGTGGACTTGATAGGGAAACAGTAGAACATGTATTATGTACTTGTAGAGAATATGTGGGGAATAGGAAATTGTTGGTTGAAAAATTAAAAGTTAAAGGTTATAAGAAATATGATTTGAATATTCTGTTAAATGGGGGCATAGTGGTTTATAAGTTAGTCATAGACTTTTTAAGGGAAAGTGGAATACTTGATAGAATTTAGTTTTTTTTTGTAGGATGCTCCCCACTTCAACTCACACTCCCATTCAGTAGGTGGCGGAAATGCACCTGAAAGTTGGTTGCCACCCGCCAATTAAACAACAGAAGAAGAAGACCTTCTCAGTCCAGAGGTCCCGGTCGAACCGAAAGTAGGAAATCCAGGACACAGTTCGTCGCGTGCGGGAGTCAGCACGAACTGAAAATGGGCAGGTGTGTCACGGTAGCGACGTGCTCGTTAAACCAGTGGGCTCTGGACTTTGAAGGCAACTTGAACCGAATCCTGAAAAGTAAGTAGGTTTGCTCGGAAGCGGTATTTGGAAATCTAGGATGTCAAAGGAAGGCCCCGCCTTTCTCGCCTCTGATTGGCTGGAAGCGCTCTTCTAAGATTGGCTATTTCGTGTAAGAGGAAACAGTTTTCCCTCGCTGCAGGTTTTTATGTTTACAGCCAGATCTTGAGGAGTTTTTTGAAGAAAATGTGAACTCATTGCTATAATTAACATCCTTTCATCCTCTTCTCCCTCCCGGCTCTCCCCCCTCTCCTCTCTTTTCCCCCACAGTCTCTCTGAACTTGGTTACTCTTTTTATGCTAAATGTTTATTTTCTATCTAGCGAGAGTTAGAGTAACGTAATTTCAATTCTCTGTATGTCCTGTACATGTGGCAGAATTGACAATAAAGCTGACTTTGACTTTCCTGTTTAGCAACAAACCATGTTCAGTTTATTTCACAAAAGAACCTGAAAAACATCAAATGTGAACTTGTAATAATTCTTGTAGCATTTTATCATATCTGTTGGCTCTTATTACTTCATTATTAGGCTATCCTGCTTTAATATGTTAAGGCTGTTTACAAGTTAGAGCACATCTCTCATCATCATATTAAATCAATAATTAAGTTAAAGCTGATTATGATTTTGACCTATTTTTCACCCGTTTTCATTATTCTAGAGAAGAAACAGACCTGATGCACACAGCTTGGCAGAATAGGGCAGTTTTATTAAATGTCATACCCAGGTAAGGCACATGTGTTTATCCTATGCACTCTAATGCTTCAGAGCCACAAGATATAAAGTAAGTCCCAACAGTTTGATAAATGCAACAAGATTTAAAATTCACATTTTACGTTTTTCAGTTTTTTTATGAAACATAAAATATTTTGCAAACCAGGACAGAATGTTTATTATAGCGCTAAGTTCACATTTTCTTTACTAAACTCCCCAAAACAGCTTTCTGCTGGTGGCAGAAAGACACAGTCAGCACTTAGCGAGGACAGCCACTTTGCTATTAAATGAAATAGCCAGTCGTAGTAGAGCCTTTCTAGCCAATCATAAGCCCTTTTGACAAGACACACCATGCCGGCAAATGGGCGTAATATTACTGCAGTGGTATGTCTATAAACGAGCCTTGCCAGCATGGCGTTGCGCGAATTTTGCGGCATTTGTTCTGCATCGCTTGGTAGTAATATTGCGGTAATGGTCTGTCGTATGCGCCCTGGCGCAACAGAGGCAGATGTCATGATGACGTGAGGAGTTATCGCTGAGCTCCGGCTGGGAAATTTATTGAAAATGAAAGTAGGGCTGCTCGATTATGGCGAAAATAATAATCACGATTATGGTGACTGAAATTGAGATCACGATTATTTAGGACGATTTTTCAATTTATGTTGATTTTATTTGTTTTTATTCAGTCATAAAATTGCTCAGGGCACAATCAGGACAAAAATAAGAAACAAGATGATCACTAAAAGAACTCCTGATTCCCAGTATAAAAAGACCAATATATTTTTATAGCTCATAGTTTATGACCCAAGGGCTATAGACCTTGGTTTAACTCATTTAAGTCTAACCAGTACAGACCCAAATACCAATATCTTGCAAATACTGACAGCAAGAATTATACAGTGGCAACAAATACATGCAAATAAATTTATGTTCACAAAATGTTGCATAACATTTATTTAGTCGTGTCAAGGTGCTGTAGGAGCATGCACTAGCACCGTGTCCTCAGAGAGATTAGTTATTAATTATCAGCGTGAGGAACTTATTTCTAGCTTATTTATAAACTATTTATTTACAAGTCCATCAGTTAATGTAATAATTGTCCCAACCACAGCTGCACCCCCACCCCCCAACCCGGTCTCACAGCTATCGGGGCAAACTGCATGTGTGTTTAGCGCGCCGCACACGCACATTTAGCCGTTTTTAGTGGCTCAGGAGTCCGCAGGTGCGGTGTGTGTGTCACTCACTCTGGTTACTCCAACAAGGAGCCGGCTCTGAGAGCTGTTTCTTTAGCGACCGACACATCACTACATCATTCCCTTTCCTAATGTCCTGAAGAACGGTCCGGGGCGCAGGCGGAGTGTTAAGCTAACCTGCAGGAAATGTCGACGACAGTTATCCAGAAAGTAGCTAAGGGTTACCAGAGATGTTTCTCAGGTGTTCGCTAGGTACTTTTAAGTTAAAAAGTCAAGAAGGGGGTCTGAAAAGCTGCTAGAAATAGCGTCAAAGTCGCTAAGTTGGCAACACTGTGAGGAGCGCTTCATTTGCAACTCGGGGCAGCGCAGGCGGGAGGAGCAAATAATCGGCTTGTTTTGTTTTTTATAATCGTTCAAAACTCAGATCGTAATCGTGATTAAAATTCGATTAACTGAGCAGCCCTAAATGAAAGTAAACACAGGCATTAAGGTTTGCTTTTTGAACAAAATCAGCTGAGATGGCGAACCAGAGCGCTGCAGCGCTCCATGAGCCTCTCTGTTAGAGCTGAAGCTCAGATAACCAGAGACTGCACAGTAGGGCTGCAACAAACGATTATTTGAATAATCGATGAATCGGATGGGGTCTCGACACGATTAATCGATTAATCGGATTACATGGGGACATTTTTTAAAACTGCTAGGGAAACGTTATTTCTCTCCTTCCTTCACTTTATTTAACACAACATTATTAGAAAACAGTTCAATAGCAGAAAAACAACATGCCATCACCTAAATTGTCTTATAAGGTGTATAGACAGAGACCCTAAGCTACATCTATCTGTGACCTAAAATGCTTGGTCCAAGCTAAACAGCTTGAGGGCAATTCTCATCTGTTTTGTTTGATCTCATCTGTTGACATTTATTATAACTGGGGATGTCAAACAACTAATTTTTAAATGTAACTAAACATAGGCTGTGAATTAATCAAAATTGATCACTATTTTCAAAAATGACTGAAAAAATAGCAAATAAAACAAAAGTAAATGAATGCCATCCTCCTTGCGATGATGCCCTGGGCAACTGCCATAAAGTCACATCAAGAAATGCTGCTGATCATTCCAATGATCCCAAATAGACTCACATTAGGCCACATGAAAGCAACTGAACCCAAAAATATATTAACCAGTATATAACTGCACTCTCACACAACACGCCTGCAGCAACAGTTAGGACTCCTCCCTCCCTTTTAAAAGCGTTTTTGCTTCTGAGGACATTGTGGTTGTAAAACCACATGCTAGTAGTCTGGCCCCGGTGTGATCAACCAGTTTCTGCGGGAATGTGACGGCGGAACCAGGTCCAGATTAACACTTTGTTGTACCCTGGGCAACAATATTCAAGGGCTCCATCATCACGACCCGAGGATCACCATAATGTGGTCACATACAGAATATTTTACTGTAATATGCAGTAAATATACTCAATACTTGAATGCCTGACAACACGTAACCCGCCCAGAGTAACCTTTGACCCACCTCATGTGGACTGACCAATGAGGAGAGGGTCTTAACTTGAGGCCCTCTCTTCATTGGTCAGTCTGCATGAGACTGACTCTCAACTGACGTTCAGTCATAGGCAGCGAAGCGTCTCTGTGCAGTGCAAAAGCCCGGGTGGACAGTTTGTTTAATGTAGGGTGACCATATTTCCATTTCCAAACAAGAGGACAGGGGATCTGTGCCTATGACGTCACACTATGGCAACACCACACAAACCATGTTGGGACCAAGCCCCCACAATGCCGCTCTAAAAATGGTCCCATCCCGGAAGTAAGAAAAATTGCAGTTCCACCCTCATCCGCTGGGGGCTGGTGCCAGAAGCGAGCAAATCCTCATTGACTCCCATGTTAAAAATGCCGATTTCACAGCAGAAATAAACATGTTTACAGCCTGGTGCCAAAACATGTTTTTTGTCTAAATTATCTAGTTTATACTCATGACAACTCTGAGGGGGGTGAATTTTTTTCTCACTCTTCTGTTTAAGTGTATTGAAAGCCTAAAATTCTGTATAATTAATGAGCATCCGACACACGTGACCGCCGCCTCAGACCCACGTGACCACAGAGCTAGCTCCGTGGAAAGGCCTCAGTACAGCCTCGGTCTGGCTTGGAAACTGCTCCGGCATTTTGAGTCTCTGTGTTTGTGTATTCTTCTTTGGATATTATTGGTGCAATTGTTGGACAAAATGACTTGCAGTGGTATTAATTGCACTAATAGAGCGTCCAAGGAGTCTCCACTTCATTTTTTTCGGTAAGTTAAAATCTATATTTGTATTTTATGTCCATGCCACCTTTAAACTAGCTGAGTTTACCGAAGTAGCTAGCTAACTATCAGTTTAACATGTAGCATGTACTGTTTAACCATGAAATTTAAATGTAAAATACGGTAAAATAATTAATAGGGCATATTTAGATGGGTAATAGGGTAAAACCCAGTGCATTTAAGATAAAAAATGGGTTGAAATATGACGGAGCGCTAAGAGGGAGACTTCTGTGTCCATTCTTCCATCCGGTAATCCCCAGCGGTCAGGCCGGGCAGCCTGACCGATCTGGCGCCTACTTGCTGCGCCTAGCTGCTGCGCGGTCTGACCGCTTGTGGAGTTTTTCATGTCTGACTTTAACCGCATCTAATAATGTATTACGGCGTGAGCGCAACAGCGACAACTTAATATCGATGTGTAAGCAGCCTGAGTGGTAGGGTGTTTTCATCTGAACCCTTAAAACCTCCAGCAGGCTACGCTGCACTATTGACGTGTTAGCGCGCGGCGCTAACAACTTAGCAACGTGACATGTCTCTGACAAAGCATAAAAACACAGACGCTTCTTCTGAAGCGGGAAAATAACACTTCTTCTTAAGCAGAGCAGGATGTCGCCTCGGCTCATTCACGGCCGAGCTGGACTGAGCTCAATAACGTTGACCAAGCACAGCCACTGGGCCTACTGAAAGAACATCACTAGCTAGTTTCATCCTATGGTTGTTTCATCACACTCATAAAGTTTTCTTTAGCTGGGGACCCCTGTATTTCACCGCTCCCTTCTGCAG